TTTGGGGGCGTGTCTTAAAAGCGCCTACCTTCTCTGGTCCAAACAAATCCAGAGCATTCAGGAGCAGAATCTAAAGTTAGAAGGAGGACATACTGGCTGCTGCATTGTTGTCAGAGAAGCCAGCACTTCAACATAGCATGTTTCCTTAATGATCAGAGAGTAAGATACCTTTATCATCTCACTCTCTACACAGCTCACTGAGCGGACCTTTAAAAATTCTAGGGGTCTAACATTGACAATGGGTTAAAAAAAAAATCTGTATTGTCTCCAGTAGACTTCTTCATCCTGCAGACTTTACCTCACAGGTCACAGCACTTGCTGGTCTAGTTTTGCCTCTGTCAGTTAGTTTTTGTGTGTGTGTGTGTGTGTGTTAGGTGTGACTGTGGTGTGTTTTTGTTTTCAGATTCAGGATATCAGTGTGGAGACTGAAGACAACAAAGAGAAGAGATCGGCTAAAGACGCTCTTCTGCTGTGGTGTCAGATGAAGACAGCAGGGTGAGGGTTCTGTTCTGTTGTCATGTGCAGCCTGACTCCGTCATTCAGTCTGCATTAAGGTGACCTTCCAACCATACTTCACATGTCCAATACAGCCGGCACACACACTGACAGCCCAGTGTGTGCAAATCAGACCACCACAATCTACACATCTATCAAACCACCGACAGACAAACAACAATTTTTTTGTTATTTTATGACTTACAAGTTCCGCCCTCTTGTCCAAATAAGGTCACTTCCTTTGACATAATACTGGGAGCATGTACAGCCATCTCCTTTAGGGCTTCTTTTAGTACGACCAAATGCTGAACAAGACAATTTGCAGTCCACCATGGTAGTGACCTGTCAATCACAGGTAGCCCCGCCCTAACTCCTCCCCCTCTTTCTGGTCTGTTTGACCATAATTTACTAAATACTGTGTTGAAGAGACTTGAAACTAGAGATTGATAACATGAACTCATCAAGAGAATGTTTACTGAGGGAATAAATCAACTGAGAAGTAGGAACATTAAATCATAGACTTCTATAGAAGCTCGCCCCCTGCTGGACACTAGAGAGAATGCTGTGCTTTCACTTTTCAGACCTGGATGCTGCGACTGCTTCTCATACTTAGTGTGCTGTCTAGTTTTTCCTCAAACTGAGATTAAACCAGGTGTTTATTGTCCTCAGGTATCCCAACGTGAACATCCACAACTTCTCAACCAGCTGGAGAGACGGCATGGCCTTCAACGCCCTCATCCACAAACACAGGTAACTCCAAAACACCCACCTTCAAATCTCAACCACCCTCTCATTCCAACAAACAAAACAACTCTCATGATCTGAAAACATTATCTTCCCTCTCAAACCTTTTCTGTGTGTTGACTGTTGTTTATATAAAGTTTTCTGTTTTTGGTTTTCAGACCCGATCTGATCGATTTTGACAAACTGAAGAAGTCAAATGCTCACTACAACCTGCAGAACGCCTTCAACCTGGCAGAACAACACCTGGGCCTCACCAAGCTGCTCGACCCCGAGGGTGAGAGAAAGATTCATTAAACCTGAAGTCAAGATTAACGTAACCTGAAGTCAAGATGAACTAAACCTAAAGTCAAGATCAACTATACCTGAAATCAAGATTAATTTAACCTGAAGTAAAGATCAACTGAACCTGAAATCAAGATTAATTTAACCTGAAGTCAAGATTAACTTAACCTGAAGTCAAGATCAACTGAACCTGAATCAAGATTAATTTAACCTGAAGTCAAGATTAATTTAACCTCAAATCAAGATTAATTTAACCTGAAGTAAAGATCAACTGAACCTCAAATCAAGATTAACTAAACAAGGGCCCTATTTCAGAAAGCAGGCTCAACATATTCCCAACGTCGGAGTTGATTGAGTCTGAGCTAACACACTCTGACGTTCCAGTTCCACATCAGCTGATTTGAGTTTGTTCAATCAACTCTGAGTAGAGCAAACTAAAAGCCAACATTAATGGAGCCCCTGATACTACGATTCACCATGGCAACAGGTGACAAAGAGTGGCTGGAGACAGATAGAAACTCGGGGTTCATTGACAGGCTCAGTTGCCATAGTAACAGACTTGAATAACCACTCTTTCTCAGGTTTGAGGGAGCTTTGAGTTCCCCTAGATTCAGTGTTTGCACTAAACCTGCTTTCTGAAACGGGCCTCTGAAGATGACCTTATCCTAAAGTCAGGATTAATTAAACCTGACCTGAAGATGATCTTCACTGAGTCTTCGTTGTTTCATGTTGTTTTTTTGGTTTCAGATATCAGCGTGGACCATCCTGACGAGAAGTCCGTCATCACCTACGTGGTGACGTATTATCACTACTTCTCCAAGATGAAGGCTCTGAAGGTCGAGGGCAAACGAATCGGAAAGGTCAGAAAACGTATTCAGACTTAAACATCACCTGATGTAACGTGTAACTGTCCGTGATGACGGTGACAGCAGCCTTCTGTTTGTGTGTCCAGGTGTTGGACAACGCCATCGAGACGGAGAAGATGGTCGAGAAGTACGAGTCTCTGGCCTCCGACCTGCTGGAGTGGATTGAACAGACCATCATCATCCTCAACAACAGGAAGTTCGCCAACTCTCTGCTGGGCGTGCAGCAGCAGCTCCAGGCCTTCAACACCTACAGGACTGTAGAGAAACCTCCAAAGTGAGCCCCTTCAGACCCCCTCCTCCTCTCAGACCTCAGACCTCACCTCCCCTTAAAGGCTTAATATGTGATTAACACTCTTAAATGTAGAAATCAAGTCTCTCCTCTGAAAATAACTCTGTGAGTCATGACTGTCTACAATGGGTGTAACACCCGAGTCCCACTGTCTGTGATGTTTTCAGAGTTTTCAGAGTCATATCTTCACTTTGTTTACATCGCCAGGACGGCCAGCTGACTCCTCCCCTCGTGTATAAAAGTTGTTTAATTGAGGGACTAGAGAAAAGAAGAATAACATACTGTACTCACTGCTTAACTGTGTTTCTAGATCACGCTCATTTCAGGTCAATTTACATGCAGTGTGAAGATACCAGCATAATAAAGATCACTAGCATTAGCATGCTAACACAACAATGCAGCGCGAGTTGTTTTGGTTTCATGCTGGAGCTCAAGGGCGACATCTGCTGGATCAAAACATCACATATAAAGACTTTAACACCTGGTGTCTCATCTTCCTTCAGGTTCACAGAGAAAGGAAACCTGGAGGTCCTCCTCTTCACCATCCAGAGTAAGATGAGAGCCAACAATCAGAAGGTGTACATGCCCCGAGAGGGGAAACTCATCTCAGACATCAACAAGGTCAGAGCTGCTTGGCTGGAACATGCCTTTAAGTGTGAAACTGTGTATCTGGGTGATTTATTGATATATTTATTTATTGATCTATTGGAGCATGAATGACAGAAAATGACTCTGCATACTATTGGCAGCAAGTAAAAAAAGCCATAACGAGAAAATGGTTAAAAGTAGACCCGCCCACCGTAGAGGAATGGATGGAAATGATACATCTACGTCATGGAAAAGATAACATTCTCTCTCAGAGTACAACAAGAAAAGTTTGATATAATACGGTCTGAATGGACTGAGTATTTAAAACCTGTAAGATCAGACGATAACTGATGAGAACCGACCCTCTACATCTTGTTTTTCTTTTCTTTCTGCACCCGTCTTTCCTAAGTTCCTGTGGAAAGGGGGACAAACAATGGACAAATACCTATAAGAGGATCAAGGAAGTCTGTTAAGTAATGAAGGTTATGTGCAGTGTAAATTATACTCTGCTGTTCCTCATAAAAAGAACATTTAAAAACAAAAGAAGGTCAGAGCTGCTCTCAAACATCACATTCATCAACTCTCTGAAACATCAAACATGTGATCTGTGTTGTGAGTGTGAATAATGTTCTCTAAACTTCAGGGAACATGTGTTGCTAGCGTTTGTAAAGTGAATATTTTGAGAAAAAGCCTTTGAAGATGTTGCTATGGTAACTGATGTGACCTCCGACCTGCAGGCCTGGGAGCGACTGGAGAAGGCGGAGCACGAGAGGGAGCTGGCTCTTAGGACCGAGCTGATCCGTCAGGAGAAACTGGAACAGCTGGCCAGACGCTTCGACCGCAAAGCCGCCATGAGAGAGACGTGGCTGAGCGAGAACCAGCGGCTGGTGTCGCAGGTGAGACGGAGCTCAGGTGTGTTTTAGAAGAAGTGCAGGTTTCCTCTTTTCTTTTTGTTCATAAACGTTCTTCGTCTCTCTCCAGGACAACTTTGGGTTCGACCTGCAGGCCGTCGAGGCGGCCACCAAGAAACACGAGGCGATCGAGACGGATATCACGGCGTACGAAGAGCGCGTGCAGGCCGTGGTCTCCGTGGCGAGGGAGCTGGAGGTGGAGCATTACCACGACATCAAACGCGTCACGGCCAGGAAGGACAACGTGATCCGGCTGTGGGAGTACCTGCTGGAGCTGCTGAAGGCCCGCAGGCAGAGGCTGGAGATGAACCTGGGTCTGCAGAGGGTCTTCCAGGAGATGCTCTACATCATGGACTGGATGGACGAGATGAAGGTACAAACCCAACCGCGGCGTGCTGCATTCAGGGTCACGTGGATTTCCATCTTTAAGAGTCTCTCTGCTTGGGTTTTTTTTCCAGATGTTGCTGCTGTCTCAGGATTATGGAAAACATCTGCTGGGTGTGGAGGATCTGCTGCAGAAACACGCCCTGGTGGAGGCTGACATCGCCATCCAGGCCGACCGGGTGAAGGCCGTCTCCACCAACGCCAACAAGTACTCAGTTAACGACGACGGTGAGCGGCGTGTTCTTCTTTGTGTGTTGAGTCCGTTCCATGAATGAGATGTTCCCGTCCTGATAACCGCCTTCCTTCCTGTCCAGGTTACAAGCCGTGCGACCCCATGGTGATCCAGGACCGGGTCTCTCACCTGGAGTTCTGCTACCAGGAGCTGACCCAGCTCGCCGCCGAGCGCCGCGCCCGCCTGGAGGAGTCCCGCCGCCTGTGGAAGTTCTTCTGGGAGATGGCGGAGGAGGAGGGCTGGATCAGAGAGAAGGAGCAGATCCTGTCATCTGTGGAGCACGGTAAGGACCTGACGGGGGCGCTGCGCCTCCTCAGCCAGCAGCGCGCCCTCGAGGACGAGATGAGCGGCCGCGCCGGTCACCTCCAGCACTCCGTGGCGGAGGGCGAGGCCATGGTGGAGGCGGGACACTTCGCCGCCGCAAAGATCCAGGATCGCATCGCCGACCTGAAGGCTCAGTGGGCGGGGCTCGAGCAGCTGGCGGCGGTGAGGAAGACGAGGCTGGAGGAGGCGCTCGCCCTGCACCAGTTCCAGGCGGACGCCGACGACGTGGACGCGTGGACTCTGGACGCGCTGCGGATCGTCTCAAGTGGCGAGACGGGCCACGACGAGTTCTCCACACAGGCGCTGGTCAGGAAGCACAAAGACGCGGCGGCGGAGGTGGCCAGCTACCGCCCGGTCATCGACTCGCTGCACGAGCAGGCCGCCGCCCTCCCCAAAGAGGAGGCGGAGTCAGAGGAGGTGCGCGGTCGTCTGGCGGGCATCGAGGAGCGCTACAGGGAGGTGTCGGAGCTGACCAAGCTCAGGAAGCAGGCGCTGCAGGACGCGCTGGCGCTCTACAAAATGTTCAGCGAGGCCAACGCCTGTGAGGTGTGGATCGACGAGAAGGAGCAGTGGCTGAACAGCATGGAGATCCCCGAGAAGCTGGAGGACCTGGAGGTCGTGCAGCACCGGTACGACACACCGCACACCGGCAAACACTCTAAAGAACAATATGAGCTGTCAGTTATTTAACATAGGAAGTGCATTAAATGTTCCTGTTCCTGTACAGAAACAGGAAGTAACTTCAAGTGTCAAAATAAAACAAAAAACAAACATTCTCTTCAAAGTTTGTGAGCGATCCAACATCTTCTTCTGTAATAACTTGTTTGTTTGTTGTTGTTTGTGTTTTCATGATCGCTGTGTCCTTACAGGTTCGAGAGTCTGGAGCCCGAGATGAACAACCAGGCGTCCCGCGTCGCCGTGGTCAACCAGATCGCTCGCCAGCTGATGCACAACGGACACCCGAGTGAGAGAGAGATCAAGAGCCAGCAGGACAAACTCAACAACAGGTACACACTTCAACTTTCTACTTTTACTGTCCCCGAGGGGAAATGAGTTTCTCAGCCAGGTGAGGACAACTATGAGAAGAAAAACCAACAAAAAAACAAAAAAACAACAGACACATAGAATCAGACAATAGAAACAACAGACACATAGAATCAAACAATAGAAACAACAGACACATAGAATCAGACAATAGAAACAACAGACACATAGAATCAGACAATAGAAACAACAGACACATAGAATCAGACAATAGAAACAACAGACACATAGAATCAAACAATAGAAACAACAGACACATAGAATCAGACAATAGAAACAACAGACACATAGAATCAGACAATAGAAACAACAGACACATAGAATCAGACAATAGAAACAACAGACACATAGAATCAGACAATAGAAACAACAGACACATAGAATCAGACAATAGAAACAACAGACACATAGAATCAGACAATAGAAACAACAGACACATAGAATCAAACAATAGAAACAACAGACACATAGAATCAGACAATAGAAACAACAGACACATAGAATCAGACAATAGAAACAACAGACACATAGAATCAGACAATAGAAACAACAGACACATAGAATCAGACAATAGAAACAACAGACACATAGAATCAGACAATAGAAACAACAGACACATAGAATCAAACAATAGAAACAACAGACACATAGAATCAGACAATAGAAACAACAGACACATAGAATCAGACAATAGAAACAACAGACACATAGAATCAGACAATAGAAACAACAGACACATAGAATCAAACAATAGAAACAACAGACACATAGAATCAAACAATAGAAACAACAGACACATAGAATCAAACAATAGAAACAACAGACACATAGAATCAAACAATAGAAACAACAGACACATAGAATCAGACAATAGAAACAACAGACACATAGAATCAGACAATAGAAACAACAGACACATAGAATCAGACAATAGAAACAACAGACACATAGAATCAGACAATAGAAACAACAGACACATAGAATCAGACAATAGAAACAACAGACACATAGAATCAAACAATAGAAACAACAGACACATAGAATCAAACAATAGAAACAACAGACACATAGAATCAAACAATAGAAACAACAGACACATAGAATCAGACAATAGAAACAACAGACACATAGAATCAAACAAAAAACAACAGACACAGAATCAAACAATAGAAACAACAGACACATAGAATCAAACAAAAAACAACAGACACATAGAATCAAACAATAGAAACAACAGACACATAGAATCAGACAATAGAAACAACAGACACATAGAATCAAACAATAGAAACAACAAACACATAGAATCAGACAATAGAAACAACAGACACATAGAATCAGACAATAGAAACAACAGACACATAGAATCAAACAAAAAAACAACAGACACATAGAATCAAACAAAAAAACAACAGACACATAGAATCAAACAAAAAAACAACAGACACATAGAATCAAACAATAGAAACAACAGACACATAGAATCAGACAATAGAAACAACAGACACATAGAATCAAACAATAGAAACAACAGACACATAGAATCAGACAATAGAAACAACAGACACATAGAATCAGACAATAGAAACAACAGACACATAGAATCAAACAATAGAAACAACAGACACATAGAATCAGACAATAGAAACAACAGACACATAGAATCAGACAATAGAAACAACAGACACATAGAATCAGACAATAGAAACAACAGACACATAGAATCAGACAATAGAAACAACAGACACATAGAATCAGACAATAGAAACAACAGACACAGGCATTAAATACAGAAACACAGAAATACAAGAGTTCATCAAGTAACAACAGAAGACTGAGAATGTTTAAAAAACATACATAAAATGATTCTTCCCTACATGCATTCTGTGAGTAGTTACACACACAAAGCTCCTACATCACACCTTTTGTACATTTTTCATATTTTACATTTTTAAATTCTGTTTTATATTTTGTAATATCTTCTTATGCTGTATTATTTAAGTTGTTGTTAGTTCTGCTTTATTTATTTATTAATTGTTTAGCACCAATACACCAAGTCAAATTCCTTGTATGTGTAAATGTACTTGGAAATAAACCCAGATTCTGATTCTGATTCTGGTTCTGATAAAACCATCATCAAAACCAGAATAAAAAACCCGTCATCAGTCATCAGAAGCTTGATGGCCTGAGTAATAAAATGATGTTTTAACCTTGTGCCTGAAGGCAGAAGCTCACAGCTGTTAGAAACTGTAATGACCCTCCTCTGCCTGTAGGTGGAGTCAGTTCCGGGACCTGGTGGATCTGAAGAAGGAGTCCTTGAACTCAGCGCTCGGGGTTCAGAACTACCACCTGGACTGTAACGAGACCAAGTCGTGGATCAAAGAGAAGACCAAAGTCATCGAGTCGACCCAGGAGCTGGGGAACGACCTGACGGGGGTCATGGCGCTGCAGCGGAAACTGACCGGGATGGAGCGCGACCTCGCCGCCATCGAGGACAAACTGGGTGACCTGCGGGGCGAGGCGGAGCGCCTGGCCCAGGAGCACCCGGACCAGGCCAAGGCCATCACGGGCCGCCTGTCGGAGATCACGGCGGTGTGGGAGGAGATGAAGAACACACTGAAGAACCGCGAGGATTCTCTGGGCGAGGCCCGGAAGCTGCAGCAGTTCCTGCGCGAGCTGGACGACTTCCAGTCGTGGCTGTCCCGCACGCAGACCGCCATCGCCTCTGAGGACATGCCCAACACACTGGCCGAGGCCGAGAAGCTCATGGCCCAGCATGAGGGCATCAAGAACGAGATCCAGAACTACGAGGAGGACTACCAGAAGATGCGGGACATGGGGGAGATGGTGACGCAGGGCCAGACGGACGCTCAGTACATGTTCCTGCGTCAGCGGCTGCAGGCGCTCGACACCGGCTGGAACGAGCTGCACAAGATGTGGGAGAACCGGCAGAACCTGCTGTCCCAGTCCCACGCCTACCAGCTGTTCCTGAGGGACACCAAGCAGGCCGAGGCCTTCCTCAACAACCAGGTACTCACAAGACCACATCCAAGGTCACCACGCCACATATCCCCAAGAAAAACCAGAACATGTTTCTGTTCCATCCTGCCCGTCTTTATCCAAATACAGATATGTCAACTTCAATACGATCCAACATGCTACAGAACTTTAACCCTCATGACTCATTATGGACATTTTTGTCTATCTGGTCAAATGTTTCCTCTTCACCTAGTCATCATTTTATCTGTTAGTGCATAAGGCAAACACTTTTAGTAAGAAAATCTCTCTTGATACATTTTGGAATGCACATTCTATTTTTTTAATAGATCAATAGAACCCTGAAACATGTTTACTCCCCTCTGAAGTCACTAAGGACAAAAATGTCCACTTCCAAAAAACTGATATAAAAATAGAACAGATTGATATTTTTTTCTACTTTTTTCTGCTTAAATCTCTTAAACAACGTCAGCCCTGCTCAAAACTACCAAACATTCAATCATTTTTAGGAATTTAACCCTTTAAAACCCAGTTTGATTTCATGATTCTGGCATTTAAAGGGTTAAAATATTTATGTATAATATTTGCTAGTTTTGAGCAGGGCTGGAGTTGTTTAAGAGATTTATGCAGAAAAAACTAGAAAAAAATATCAATCTGTTCTATTTTTATAGCAGTTTTTTGTAAACTGGACATTTTCGCCCTCTAGTGTCCAAACAGGGAATTACATTTTAAATCTGATGCTACACAAGAACTAACAATGCATCAAAGTCAATATTTTGGATAATCTTTGACGTATCCAAAACTGATTTTAAAAAAATCCCCCAGCCACCAAATATCTGTTTTATGGAAAATAACTCATTTTTGTGTTCGTTTTTTTTTTCATAAATAACAACAGTGACATCAAGTAATCAAACTGGCATTTAAAGGGTTAAATTCCTGATAATTATTAAATATTTGATATTTCTGAGCAGGGCTGGAGTTGATTAAGAGATTTATGCAGAAAAAGAAACAAATATCAATCTGTTCTATTTTTATATCAGTTTTTTGTCCTTAGTGACTTAAGAGGGTAGTAAATTAAACCTGAGGGTTAAATACTGTTATACCAAAGGGGGCGTGTCCAGACCCTTTGGACTGAGGTGGCCCAACTGGGGTCCTGACTAATACGGGGGGGGGGTTCAGTCTTTACAAGTCAAATCTACTTTGAAGCAAAACAAGAAAATGGCAACAAAAAAAATGAAAACATGTAAAATGAAAACTACAAACAGCCTGTTTTAACTCCGCCCCAATGGTTGACTTTAATATAGCCAATCATAGTGTGGGGTTTGGGGCGGTGGCCCTCTGGACAACGCCCCTGCACACAAAAGGTTGCTCTGTGGAGAGGTCAGACATGTTGTAGTTTCAGTACGATATCCTGATCCCCTCGTGTCCCCTGCAGGAGTACGTCCTCGCTCACACCGAGATGCCCACCACCCTGGAGGCCGCCGAGGCCGCCATCAAGAAGCAGGAGGACTTCATGACCACGATGGACGCCAACGAAGACAAGATCAATGGCGTGGTGGAGGCCGGTCGGCGTCTGGCCAGCGACGGGAACATCAACGCTGAAAAGATCCAGGAGAGGGTCGCCTCCATCGACGACAGGTCAGGTCCACAAGCTGCTCTGTGGTCTTCATCATCAGATTTATAGTGATCGGTGAACAGCCAATCAGTGTGCAGCAATGTGTGTGTGTGTGTGTGTGTGTTTCAGGCATAAGAAGAACAGAGAGGCTGCAGTGGAGCTGCTGATGAGACTGAAAGACAATAGAGACCTGCAGAAGTTCCTGCAGGACTGTCAGGAGGTCCGTCCTCGCACACGCACACACACACACACACACACACACACACACACACACACACACACACACACATCATCTGATTAAACATTTCGTGTGTGTGTGTGTGTGTGTGTGTGTGTGTGGTGTGTGTGTGTGTTGTGTGTGTGTGTGTGTGTGCAGCTGTCTTTGTGGATCAATGAGAAGATGCTCACAGCTCAGGACATGACGTACGACGAGGCGAGGAACCTGCACAGCAAGTGGCTGAAGCACCAGGCCTTCATGGCTGAGCTGCAGTCCAACAAAGAGTGGCTCGACAAGATCCAGAAGGTGAAGAGGACTGACCCTGACCCTGACCCTGACCCTGACCCCGACCCCGACCCTGACCCTGACCCGACCCGACCCGACCCCGACCCCGACCCCGACCCCGACCCCGACCCCGACCCCGACCCCGACCCCGACCCCGACCCTGACACTGAAGGGACTCAGGAAGTGTTTCAGACGTTTTCTGTGTTTCTAACTTTATTTCTGACACATTTCAAAACGTGTTTCCGGTTGGCGGTTGTAAAAAGGGGGTCAAAGGTCATCAAACATTAGAGTCCTCATTGTGTCCTCTGGTCCGGCAGGACGGCACGCTGCTGGTGTCGGAGAAGCCAGAGACGGACGCCGTGGTGAAGGAGAAGCTGTCCGCTCTGCACGCCATGTGGGCGGAGCTAGAGTCGACCACGCAGACCAAAGCTCAGTGTCTGTTCGACGCCAACAAGGCGGAGCTGTTCACTCAGAGCTGCGCCGACCTCGACAAGTGGATGGGCGGTCTTGAGGGTCAGATCCAGTCCGACGACTACGGCAAAGACCTGACGTCTGTCAACATCCTGCTGAAAAAACAACAGGTACGAACACAGCGTTGCTATGGAAACAAAAATAACGGCTTTATGTCGACTTCACTGCTGCAGGTAGAAGAACTACAATAGTTCAGAGGCGCCCCCTGCTGGAGGAGCGCAGCACGCCCCCTGCTGGAGGAGCGCAGCACGCCCCCTGCTGGAGGAGCGCAGCGCAGCACGCCCCCTGCTGGAGGAGCGCTGCACGCCCCCTGCTGGAGGAGCGCAGCACGCCCCCTGCTGGAGGAGTATCATCATTATAATGACAGTTGTCTCGTCTCGTCTGCAGATGCTGGAGAAGCAGGTGGAGGTGCGTCAGAGAGGTGTGGAGCTGCAGAGCCAGGTGAAGGCTCTGGGTCAGGAGGTCAAGGACACGGAGGAGGTGGACGGCCGCAGGCAGCTGGTGGAGAACAAGTTCCAGGAGCTGCTGGACCCGCTGAGACGCCGCAGGAACTTCCTGGTGGCGTCCCGAGAAGTTCACCAGTTCAACCGCGATCTGGAGGACGAGATCGTACGTAACACCTGAGCCCTGCACACTTCTCACTGTCAGACTGAATGTTAAAGGTTCTGAATGAAGACGTTTATTCTCTCTGCTCGTCCTCCAGCTGTGGGTCCAGGAGAGGATGCCCGTCGCCACGTCCACTGACCACGGAAACAACCTGCAGACGGTCCAGCTGCTCATCAAGAAGAACCAGGTGAGAGAGCCTCATGTTTCATCAGCTGCTGCATGTCAGCCAATGAACTGTGAGACTGCGGCGTCAGTGGCCTAGCGGTTGGTTTGTGCGCCCCTTGTACGGAGGATGTTGTCCGGGGTTCAGGTCCCCCCTCTCTGTATCCAGCGTCTGACATCAATAAAGAAATAAAAGAGTAACCATTTGATCTGCTGTGTGACTCCGCCCCTCAGACTCTGCAGAAGGAGATCCAGGGTCATCAACCTCGGATCAACGACCTCCTGGAGCACAGCGCCAGCCTCCTGCAGGACGAGTCGCTGAGTGGCGAGGTGATCCGGCAGCGTCTGGCTGACCTGCAGGAGCTGTGGAGACGGGTGAGGGAGGAGACGGAGAGTCGCCACGGCGCCTGGAGGAGGCGCACAAAGCTCAGCAGTACTACTTTGATGCCGCCGAGGCCGAGGCCTGGATGAGCGAGCAGGAGCTGTACATGATGTCAGAGGAGAAGGCCAAGGTACGCACGTTATACTGAAAACCAAAAAAAACAATTTGAAGAAATAAGTAAAACAATCCAATCCAACTTTATTTGTTTAGCACTTTAAAACGACCACAGTTGACCAAAGTGCTGCACAGAAGAATAAATAAAATACAGAACAGCTCACGAGATAAAAGAAAACTACATGTGAAATACAGAATCAAGTTAAAAGACATAAAACAAGTAAAATGAATAGGCACGCAAAAAAGAAATAAAATAAATTAATAAATAAGTCGACATCTTACTGTGTGTCAAAGGGAAAAAAGATGGGTCTTAAGACGAGATTTAAAAACAGACCTGTGACGTGCTGAGGTAAATCGTTCCATAATTTTGGAGCCGCAACAGCAAACGCACGGTCCACTCTGAGCTTCCGCTTGGTTTGAGGCCCCCTCAGGAGCAGCTGATCAGCTGACCTGAGAGAGCTGGTGGGCGTGTACGGGTGTAGAAGCTCAGAGAGCTAGGCGGGGCAATGCCATGCTTCCTAAGTATTGAACCTGCGTGAGCAAATAGAGAGAGAAAAGGAGAAGGCCTAGAATTGTGCCCTGTGGGACTCCGCACGAGAGAGGAGCAGAGGAGGATAAAAAGTCGCCAAGGCCGACACAGAAAGTTTGATCAGCCAAGTATGACCTGAACCAATCCAGTGCCATGCACCCTGATGCCCACCCAGTGCTCCAAACGAGAGATCAGGACATCATGATCCACAATGTCAAACGCAGCAGTTAAATCTAAAAGGACAAGGACAACACAGTCACCAGAGTCGGTTGCTAAAAAGATATCATTAAAAACTCTTATAAGAGCTGATTTGGTGCTGTGCAGGGTTTTCAAACCTGATTGGAAAACCTCTAAAACATTATGCTCTTCCAGAAAGGCCATTAATTGACTGTGAACTATCTTTTCGAGGGCTTTAGAAAGAAAAGGCAGTTTGGAGATCGGCCTGAAAATAGTAAGAACTGCAGATTCCAGACCAGGTTTTTTAATCAGAGGTTGCACTACTGCATGTTTAAACAGTTCAGGCACCACACCTGAGGACAGACTGCTATTAATGATTGCAATAACAGATTGTCCTAAAGTGGGGAAAACCTCTTTAAATAGACAAGGAGGGACAGTATCAAACATATAGTAATTCAGCTGCAGATGAAACGACGAAACCCTTACTCAGAAAGGGTTTTCTGTTTGTGTAGGACGAGCTGAGTGCCGTAACCATGCAGAAGAAACATCAGATCGTGGAGCAGGCGGTCGAGGACTACGCCGAGACGTCCACCTGCTGTCCAAGACCAGCAGAGGTCTGGTCTCTGACGGACACCCGAGAGGTAAACACACATCCAGGACCCCTCAGAAATCTACTGAAGTGTCTGAATCATAAATTAATGTGTGTGTGTGTGTGTGTGTGTGTGTGTGTGTGTGTGTGTGTGTGTGTGTGTGTGTGTGTGTGTGTGTGTGTGTGTGTGTGTGTGTGTGTGTGTGTGTGTGTGTGTGTGTGTGTGTGTGTGTGTGTGTGTGTGTCAGTGAGCGAATCAGCATGAGGCAGTCTCAGGTGGATAAGCTGTATGCCGGTCTGAAGGATCTGTCAGAGGAGAGGCGGGGCAAGCTGGACGAGAGGCTCCGCCTCTTCCAGCTGAACCGTGAGGTGGACGACCTGGAGCAGTGGATCGCTGAGCGGGAGGTGGTGGCCGGGTCACACGAGCTGGGACAGGACTACGAACACGTCACCGTACGTTAACGCCATTTACCCGCCATTTTAGGGCGGTCGATAAAACGCTCAATAATACTTAACCACGTGTTACTGATGTTAACCCAACCACGGACTTGTGGCTCAGATGTTGCAGGAGCGTTTCCGGGAGTTTGCTCGGGACACCGGGAACATCGGTCAGGAGCGAGTGGACGCCGTCAACCGTCTGGCGGACGAGCTGATCAACACAGGTCACGGTGACGCAGCGACCGTGGCGGAGTGGAAGGACGGGCTGAACGAAGCGTGGGCCGACCTGCTGGAGCTCATCGACACACGGACGCAGATCCTCGCCGCCTCCTTCGAGCTCCACAAGTTCTACCACGACGCCAAGGAGATCCTGGGACGCATCGTGGACAAACAGAAGAAACTGCCGGAGGAGGTCGGGCGGGACCAGAACACGGTGGACACGCTGCAGAGGATGCACACCACCTTCGAACACGACATCCAGGCCCTGGGAACACAGGTACCTGGTCTACGGGGACAGATGGGGTCTACGGGGACAGGTTGGGTCTACGGGGACAGATGGGGTGTGCGGGGACAGGTTGGGTCTACGGGGACAGATGGGGTCTGCGGGGACAGATGGGGTCTGCGGGGACAGGTTGGGTCTACGGGGACAGATGGGGTCTGCGGGGACAGGTTGGGTCTACGGGGACAGGTTGGGTCTACGGGGACAGATGGGGTCTGCGGGGACAGATGGGATCTACGGGGACAGGTTGGGTCTGCGGGGACAGATGGGGTCTGCGGGGACAGGTTGGGTCTACGGGGACAGGTTGGGTCTACGGGGACAGATGGGGTCTGCGGGGACAGATGGGATCTACGGGGACAGATGGGGTCTGCGGGGACAGATGGGATCTACGGGGACAGGTTGGGTCTGCGGGGACAGGTTGGGTCTGCGGGGACAGGTTGGGTCTGCGGGGACAGATGGGGTCTGCGGGGACAGGTTGGGTCTACGGGGACAGGTTGGGTCTACTGGTACCCTAGTAGACCACATCAAACATCTGGGTGTCTGGTTTGACAGCGACTTAAATTTTGAGCAGCTCACAACAAAGCTTGTACAGTCTTGTTTTCATCGATTTGAACTGTTGAAGACACAGAGACGATTTTACATGCTGTTATCTCATCACGTCTTGACTTTTGTAAAAGCCTTTTTACTTACCTGAACAAAAAAATCTATCGATGGACTGCAGTTGGTACAGAACTCAGCTGCCAGACTTTTAACTAGAACCAGAAAGCATGAGCACATCACTCCTGTTTGAGCATCTCTACACCGGCTCCCTGTGTGTTTTAGAATTGATTTTAAGATTTTACTGATTACTTTTAAAGCCCTCCATGGCCTTTCCCCCAGCTGTTTTTACTACCTTACAAACCCACGCAGCACATTGAGACCTCGGGCTGAGGTCTCCTGGTGGTTCCAAATGCAAAATTAAAAACTAAAGGGGATAGAGCATTACCGTGAGGGCACCAAGACTCTGGAACCACCTGCCCGAGGAGATCAGGTCGGCAGAATCACTCATCTCTTCTTCAGACAAACGTTTTCCGGCGAGCCTTTCCTGATTTTTGTTGATTTTAAATTGTTACTATTTTAACTTTTTAGAATTCCTTTAAAATAATTGTATGTATTTTACAGTTCTTTTAAAGGGATTTTATATCTTTATTCCTTAATCTTGCCTTGTTTATTATTCTATGACCTGCCTGTTTTTATATTTGCTGTCCTTGTAAAGCACTTTGTAACTAGTTTTTGAAAAGTGCTCTATAAATGAAGATTATTATTATTATTATGAAACCTGGTCTATGGGGACAGTTTGGTTTAGAGGACAGTTTGGGTTTAGGGGACCTGTTTGGTTAGTTCTCTGATCTGAACTCTCTGGGCTGCAGGTGAGACAGCTGCAGGAGGATGCGGTGCGCCTTCAGTCAGCGTACGCCGGAGACAAAGCGGACGACATCCAGCGGAGGGAGAGCGAGGTTCTGGAGGCCTGGAGGATCCTGCTAGAGGCCTGTGAGGGACGCCGTCTCCGCCTCCTGGACACAGGAGACAAGTTCCGGTTCTTCAGCATGGTGAGGGACCTGATGCTGTGGATGGAGGACGTGATCCGGCTCATCGAGGCCCAGGAGAACCCCAGGTACCGAAAGCTGCATTCAGGGACAAGCTGTGATTAATGTGTGTCTCATGGTGCATTCAGGGACATGTAATCTGTGAAGCTGTGATTAATGTGTGTCTCATGGTGCGTTCAGGGACATGTAATCTGTGAAGCTGTGATTAATGTGTGTCTCATGGTGCGTTCAGGGACATGTAGTCTGTGAAGCTGTGATTAATGTGTGTCTCATGGTGCGTTCAGGGACATGTAATCTGTGAAGCTGTGATTAATGTGTGTCTCATGGTGCGTTCAGGGACATGTAGTCTGTGAAGCTGTGATTAATGTGTGTCTCATGGTGCGTTCAGGGACATGTAGTCTGTGAAGCTGTGATTAATGTGTGTCTCATGGTGCGTTCAGGGACATGTAATCTGTGAAGCTGTGATTAATGTGTGTCTCATGGTGCGTTCAGGGACATGTAGTCTGTGAAGCTGTGATTAATGTGTGTCTCATGGTGCGTTCAGGGACATGTAGTCTGTGAAGCTGTGATTAATGTGTGTCTCATGGTGCGTTCAGGGACGTGTCGTCTGTGGAGCTGCTGATGAACAACCATCAGGGCATCAAGGCAGAGATTGACGCTCGAAACGACAGCTTCACGGCGTGCATCGAGCTGGGGAAAGCCCTGCTGGCCAGAAAACACTACGCCTCAGAGGAGGTGAGCAAACACACCTGGATGAATATCTTAGTTAGCTTGTTGCTAACACATGATGGAAAATGCCATTAACTGGCTAACAGAATTAGCATCAGGATTATTTTAATTTCACTGTCATGGTTATGTCACCGTCTGTTGACTTGCCGTGTGTGTGTGTGTGTGTGTGTGTGTGTGTGTGTGTGTGTGTGTGTGTGTGTGTGTGTGTGTGTGTGTGTGTGTGTGTGTGTGTGTGTGTGTGTGTGTGTGTGTGTGTGTGTGTGTGTGTGTGTGTGTGTGTGTTTGTGTGTGTGTTGTTGTTTACTATTTGTGTGTTTGTTTTTCAGATTAAGGAGAAGTTGCTGCAGCTGACTGACAAGAGGAAAGACATGATTGACAAGTGGGAGGACCGATGGGAGTGGCTACGACTCAGTAAGACACACACACACACACACACACACACACACACACACACACACACACACCAGAGCTGGTTCCTGATTGGCTGCTGCAGTGATGAGTCAGCGGTGATGGAGACTCCTCGGGCTCTCGCTGCTCTTTAACGACGCGGCCGATCTTCAGCTCACTGCCGGCGCCGACCAATCAGGAAACGCTTCGGGCGCTGCAGACGTCCTGACCTCATGAGAGACTCAGTACGGAGTCACAGGAGGGACAAACTACCAAACTGTAAAAAACAAATCAGGATGTAAATGTGGATATTCAAACAGAGATAAGTGTAAGAAGTGTAAACACACGCTAAGGGGCCGTGTGATTGGACGCCTGAGGGGTCACATGGTTCATTCAGAGAAATCTTTGTTGGATGTTTAAACTCCGCCTCCTCCCTCCCCCTCCTCAGTCCTGGAGGTGCACCAGTTCTCGCGGGACGCGGGCGTGGCCGAGGCGTGGCTGCTGGGTCAGGAGCCGTACCTGTCGGGCAGGGACATGGGTCAGAGCGTGGACGAGGTGGAGAAGCTCATCAAACGCCACGAGGCCTTCGAGAAGTCCGCCGCCACCTGGGAGGAGCGCTTCTCCGCTCTGGAGAGGCTGACTACGGTGAGCTGAGGGGGACAAATCAAAAAACTGAAGCAATATGAAACTAACTGGAGCTAACTGGAGCTAACTGAAGCTAACTGGAGCTATCTGAAACAAACTAGAGCTAACTGAAGCTAACTGAAGCTAACTGAAGCTATCTGAAACAAACTAGAGCTAACTGAAGCTAACTGGAGCTATCTGAAACAAACTAGAGCTAACTGAAGCTAACTGAAGCTAACTGAAGCTATCTGAAACAAACTAGAGCTAACTGAAGCTACCTGAAACAAACTACAGCTATCTGAAGCTATCTATAGCTAACTGAAGCTATTTAAAGCTATGTGAAGCTACCTGAAGCTAACTGAAGCTAACTGGAGCTATCTGAAACAAACTAGAGCTAACTGAAGCTAACTGAAACAAACTGAAGCTAACTGAAACAAACTAGAGCTAACTGAAGCTATCTGAAACAAACTAGAGCTAACTGAAGCTAACTGAAGCTATCTGAAACAAACTAGAGCTAACTGAAGCTATCTGAAACAAACTAGAGCTAACTGAAGCTAACTGAAGCTATCTGAAACAAACTAGAGCTAACTGGAGCTATCTGAAGCTAACTGAAGCTATCTGAAACAAACTAGAGCTAACTGAAGCTATCTGAAACAAACTAGAGCTAACTGAAGCTATCTGAAACAAACTAGAGCTAACTGAAGCTAACTGAAGCTATCTGAAACAAACTAGAGCTAACTGAAGCTAACTGAAGCTATCTGAAGCTAACTGAAGCTATTTAAAGCTTTGTGAAGCTACCTGAAGCTAACTGAAGCTATCTGAAGCTAACTGAAGCTATCTGAAACAAACTAGAGCTAACTGAAGCTATTTAAAGCTTTGTGAAGCTACCTGAAGCTAACTGAAGCTATCTGAAACAAACTAGAGCTAACTGAAGCTATCTGAAACAAACTAGAGCTAACTGAAGCTAACTGAAGCTATCTGAAGCTAACTGAAGCTATTTAAAGCTATGTGAAGCTACCTGAAGCTAACTGGAGCTAACTGAAGCTAACTGAAGCTAACAGAAGCTATGTAAAGCTGACTGAAGCTAACAGAAGCTATGTAAAGCTGACTGAAGCTACCTGAAGCTATCTGAAACAAACTACATCTATCTGAAGCTATCTATAGCTAACTGAAGCTATTTAAAGCTATGTGAAGCTACCTGAAGCTAACTGGAGCTAACTGAAGCTAACAGAAGCTAACAGAAGCTATGTAAAGCTGACTGAAGCTACCTGAAGCTATCTGAAACAAACTACATCTATCTGAAGCTATCTATAGCTAACTGAAGCTATTTAAAGCTATGTAAAGCTAACTGAAGCTAACAGAAGCTATGTAAAGCTAACTGAAGCTAACAGAAGCTAACTGAAGCTAACTGAAGCTAACAGAAGCTAACTGAAGCTAACTGGAGCTAACTGGAGCTAACTGAAGCTAACTGAAGCTATGTAAAGCTGACTGAAGCTACCTGAAACAAACTACATCTATCTGAAGCTATCTATAGCTAACTGAAGCTATTTAAAGCTATGTGAAGCTACCTGAAGCTAACTGGAGCTAACTGAAGCTAACAGAAGCTAACAGAAGCTAACTGGAGCTAACTGAAGCTAACAGAAGCTATGTAAAGCTGACTGAAGCTAACTGGCGCTATCTTTTTACGCCATGTCTCGCCTCAGGAGGCCCCGCCCCCTCACAGTCCTGATTTAGTAAACTGTGTTTCTTTGTTCAGCTGGAGTTGTTGGAGGTGAGGAGGCAGCAGGAGGAGGAGGAGCTTCCTCAGGAAGCCTCCCACCCCGGAGCTGCTGCCCGTCGTCCAGCAGGAGGAGGAGCCTCAGCAGCAGAGGTCAGAGGTCGTCCTTCACTTTGAACACACACAGAGTCAGAAACAGCAGCAGCAGCACCTGGTGGCTGTCAGCGGAACTGCAGCGAGTCCAGCTGTGAAAATAAAGAATAATGAAAACCTGACCTGTGATTTCTTTTTTTCTCTGCAGCGGAGTGATCACTCAGAACGGACTCGCCTCGGACCAGGACTCTCCTCGGGTCAGTGACCATCAAAAAACTCATGTTGAGCTCAAACTTTGTATCTTTGAAACGTTATCAACATTTAAAATAATTCTGATGAGCAGGAATCATTTAAAATTCATCATGTGAGACTAGAACAAATGTCTCTGTGTATTCCACCCTCTCAGGACGGCATGGTCGATGGCGAGCTGGTGAACGGCGTTGTTGAACGCAGCTCGAAGGAGCCGAGCCCCAGCGGGTCGCCGACCTCCGGCAGGAAGAGCAAAACCAGCCAGTCGTCCACCCTGCCTCCAGGAACCAGGAGCCCACGTCCCAGATGGAGAGCTTCCTGCACCGCAAACACGAGTGGGAGGGGCACAACAAGAAGGCCTCCAACAGGTAACAAAGATCCTCTCCTGCAGGAGGGGGAGACCTCTCACTCTGCCTGCACGGCTCTCATCACGCTCTCCCCTCCCTCTCTGATTGGCAGATCGTGGCACAATGTGTACTGCGTCATCAACAACCAGGAGATGGGTTTCTACAAAGACAGCAAGGCGGCGTCTCAGGGCGTGCCGTACCACAACGAGGTCCCCGTCGGCCTGAAGGAGGCGACGTGCGAGGTGGCGTCAGAGTACAAGAAGAAGAAGCACGTCTTCAAACTCAGGTGAGGCTCAGGTTTCAGAGTTTAGGAGAAGGTTGATTTAAATGTGGCGTTCAGGTTTTAACAGCTGAGCGGTTACAATAGATGTTTTATTCATGAAGAGAAGGTCACATCAGTAGAAACATCTTGGTGTGTTTGACCTGATCGTCCTCCTCTCTCCTTTCAGACTCACTGATGGAAACGAGTATCTGTTCCAAGCCAAAGATGAAGTAAGTCTGACTCTGAGCTCTAATGGCGTCCTCTCTGTGAGGTCGCTTCAGGGTCACTCTGCTCAACAGGAACGAGTGGAAGTTGAATTTTGTCTTTTTTGAGATCTGGATGAGTCTAAAGAAAGTTTAGAGAAGACTAAATCTGGCATGAATTGATGATTAAAACATTTTTATGGAGTCTAAATATTCAGCCGGGCGAGCTTCATGATGTCCAAAGAAAGTCGAGGACGTGAAGTGTGTGACCGAACACACACACACACACACACACACACACACACACACACACACACACACACACACACACCTGTCAGGGAGCGGCCTCTACACCTGGCATGTGTCTGTGCAGAGACCTCTTTGTGATGTGTGCGTGTGTATCTGTGTGTGTCTGTGCAGAGACCTCTTTGTGATGTGTGCGTGTGTATCTGTGTGTGACTGTGCAGAGACCTCTTTGTGATGTGTGCGTGTGTATCTGTGTGTGACTGTGCGTGTGTATCTGTGTGTGTCTGTGCAGAGACCTCTTTGTGATGTGTGCGTGTGTATCTGTGTGTGACTGTGCAGAGACCTCTTTGTGATGTGTGCGTGTGTATCTGTGTGTGTCTGTGCAGAGACCTCTTTGTGATGTGTGCGTGTGTATCTGTGTGTGACTGTGCAGAGACCTCTTTGTGATGTGTGCGTGTGTATCTGTGTGTGTGACTGTCGTGTTGTCGCCCCCTGCAGGAGGAGATGAGCACCTGGATCCAGGCCATCCTGAACGCCGGCGCCGATCGCTCCAGCGTCCAGGGCAGCCATCCCGGCACGCCGGTGTCCGGGCGCGCTCAGACACTGCCGGCCACCGTCACGCTGACCACGGAATCGAGTCCCGGGAAGCGAGAGAAGGACAAAGAGAAGGAGAAGGAGAAACGCTTCAGTCTGTTCAAGAAGAAACAGTAGAGAGGAAAACAAAACAAAAAAGAGACGCTTTGGTGAAACTGACTCTTGACTGTCGCTCTGAAACGTCACATTTAGCTTCTGATTTCTTCATCTCCCGCTGGAACATCAAAGAACTGGAATCGTGTTTCAGAGCGAGAGCCAGGTGGGATCTGTTTTCATTTAGCTAAACCGAGAGCGCCAGCTTTTCCCACCGCCAATCCTCCGCCGTTTCCTGTTCTGAACATCAAACACCTGACGTCTGTTAGAAGACAAAAACTGCCACCCCCACGGGCTGTGACACCTGTAGTTCAGGTGAAACATCCGTCCAATAGACAGTCAGAACACGTAAAAAAAAGATCTGAATTCAAAACGTGTTTTCCCCTCAACTAAGAATAGTCAATGACATCACTACCGCACAGCCAATGGCGGAGTATGGCGGCTCAGAAAGCTCAAACGAAAGGAGAAGAAAACTGTTCAAGTTTCACCAAAGTGCAGCGTGAACTTGTTTTTTTGTGTTTTGATCTCGATGCAGTTTGATACGTTTTGTTTTGTTTTTTCTTGGTGTGGTCGGCGATCGGGCGGAGAGGCGGCGCTCAGGATGTTCAACGACACTGTGCCAGAGAGTGAGAGCGGCGCGTGTGTGTTTATAAACGGCGTGTCATCGTCGGCGTAGACAACAAACGGGCAAACATTCGCCTCTACGCTGACAATGACACGCTGTTTTCTCACGACATCACGGCCACTCTCGCTCCGTCTCGGTGACGTCAGCGGGGACCACGCGCTCTTCTTCTGTTTGTTTTTGTTTTCTTACATTTTTGTTGTTTTTTCTAATTTTTTGAAACAGGTCTGAAATTATTTCCTCAATTTTGTGAGGGTGTCTTAAACGACAGCCTACATTCTTCCTCTGCCGGTGAGAAATTGGACCAATAGTGCTTTTTTTGTTTGTTTTTGTTTTTTTTCTTCGTCCTCTGCCACTCCAACCTTTTACGTTTACGACTTTAAAAAAAAAACAGCCAATCACCTTCGAGGAGACGTGTGAAGAGTTCACTTGCATGCTTCGTCAGGCTCAGAGCGTCGCCTGAAAACACTCACCTGGAACGATCAAGATCTCCTCTTTTTTTTATCTTTTCCTCCGTTGGCTGAAGATGAGTATGTATAATAAACACTTTAAGGCGTCGATGTGTGACGGTGATCGTACATCAGGGAGGTACAGGTGTGAAGGTTGCTTGCTTGTCGTCGGCTCTTGGCACCACGCTGCGTTCAGATTTTCTGCTCTTTGATACTCGTGTTGCTCCGCGTCACTGTATATCTATCGTACTGAACATGTATGGAAGTTATCGCCATCTTACTGCACAATCAGAACTACATCTATAGGAATGAACAAGAAGCTGTTTGAGGCCCCATATTTAAACAGAACTTAGACCATAAAGGCTTTTCTCATGTATGAAACTGCACCTGTAGACTTTAAAGCTCTCTCTCTCTCTCTCTCTCTCTCTCTCTCTCTCTCTCTCTCTCTCTCTCTCTCTCTCTCTGTCAAATATGTGCGATGTCATTAAAGCTTTTAAACTTTACACTTGTGAGGTTTTTTTTTTACTGTTATTAAACGGCCATCATTTAAAAAAAAACAAATGACTTAAAGGAGCAGTATGTAACTCTGACCCCTAGTGTTTAAAATGGGTACTGCAGTCTAAATTCTAATAATCACACTGTTTTAAAAATGAAAGCACATAGATATTAAACAATCATTTACAACAAATAACACCGGATCTGGAGAATATAATATATATCTTGTTTTATCAGTAAAAAGCAAAAAAAACAGAGCCCAGGAATAGGGGGAGGAGTTTGGGCGGGGCTACCTGGCTTAACCAGGCCGTAAACATGTTCATCTCTGCTGTAAAAACAGGCTTTTTTGAATGGGTGTGTATGTGACTTCCTGTGCTTCTGCAGCCAGCCTCTAGTGGACACTTGATGAACTGCACTTAAGCACTTACTTCATTTTTCAACACCAGAGGTTGCTGTTTGCTCTTACCATCTCTCTTCTCAAGATTCACCCTCTCGTACAAATATGAATTTGCTGTAGCAAAGTTTGAGGGTTTTCCATCAAAGTGATGCCTCTGCTTATGAGAGAGGATCTTTGCAGCAGCAGATGGACCAAGTTCCTGGTTAAGATCTGACCTGAGTTTATCCCATCCGGAAGATACATTTATATCTACCAGGGGCTATCAGTACATTAGCTGCTAATTATTAAACTACAACTCCCAGCATGCACTGTGAGCTCCTGAATGCAGATTCATGAAGATGCTGCGCTGAAAGCGCCGCTGACCATCTGACCCGCGGAGAGGGAGACCGGAATCAGCCGCCACGGACTTCAGAATAAAACCAAGCAAAGGAATCAAAGCTATGTTTTCTAAAGTATTTATATTCAGAAAATGTCTATGTGAAACGTATCCTTCTGAACAAACTTTCACTTTCAGTCTGTAGGCTGTCAGGCCTTAGCTGTAAAACAATTTTGACATAAAATGTCAGCTTCAACATTTGTGTGTGAACATTTTCACAGACACAGGCACTGCCCTGTTAAGCGCATTCTTTGATACTAATGTGCTCTAACTAGTATTCAAGATCTTCTTTATTTGTATAAGTGTTAATATTGTACTCTACTTTTCAGTTTTCACCTGTAAACGAGCCAAGACAAACTCGCCGTTTATATCTGTGCTTTATTTTGAAATCGATAAACGGAAGTGCAGGTGCAGGTGCAGGTGCTTATTCTTCGGCGTTGACGCTCTCGGTGATCCCTGGGATTCCCGTTAATATCCCGACTTTCCTTCATCATTTTCTGCGTTTTTAATGGCTGTTTGTGAGCTAGCGGGGCAGCTGCGGGTCTCTGCCGGGTCTCAGCGTCTCTCCGCCGGCCTGCAGGAGGAGCGGGACTCGGTGTGTGGAGGTGTGGATGCGGCGGACCGGCGGTGATAAATCGGCGCTGTAATCTCCGGGTTTTAACTGGAAACGGCGAACAGACGGCGGCAGGAACCAGAGGGGGATTGAACCCGATTTCAACCGACTGACTCTCGAATTGGGAATTATTTTTAAATCGACTCAAACTGTCGGTTATTTTTGCAAACGGCCCAAACGGAGCAACGGTGAAAAACGTCAAGATTTACCTGATATCCCCTCACTTTGAGCAGTCAGACATGTGCTCTGAACACATGATTTGTTTCACATTTACCTTCTCAGCAAACTCTGAAGCCTTCCAGGAATATTTCCCGTTTATATCAAATAACCTTCAGCGGAAATGATGAGAATTTTGGGTCACTTTGGATTATTTGTTCGCTAAACGCTCCCCATAGGGATTCCACGGATCGGTAGATTTATTAAAAATGTCCCTGAAGGCTGCCGTAGCTGTCATCTGAATTCTATTAGCTCCTCTGCTAGCACAAATACTGTTTATTAATCATAAACAAAACTTGAATTTAATAAACTACAACAATAAAAACGTGTTAAATAATAATCACATCATAACAAGACGTCAGTTAATACTCATTTATTAGAAATGTTATTTAAATGAAGCTAAATCTGATCGTTTCTCCTCAGATATTACTTTAATTTGTTTATATTGATTTAACATTGATTTTATTGCAGCTCCTACTTTTAATTGAGTTTGTGCCACATGTTTCAGTATAAAAAAGGCTTTATTTTCGTGTAAATCAAATAATCTGCTGTGTAATATTAATGTAAGACATCTCTAGCTACAATAAATCTCTGACTTTGTCCAACAGGAAGTCATTTAGTGTCTAAGTTTTAAAGCTTTGCCTCATCATATTGAATATAATGTCCAGTTGATTTTCAGCCTGATGACCTCTGAGGTTAAAACCCAAAATAAGACAAATTATTTAAGACTTTGTTTCTGAGAGATCAGCGGCTAAATTCTTAAAATTTATGATACAGCTGAAGTTAAAAAAGAAGCACCTGGAGACTGGTTTTGTACACTGAGACAAATGTAGCTGTAAACCTGGAGATTATCCTCTGGTCATCCTCCAACAGTCCTCTTTAGAGGGGAAACCTGCACAGTTAAAGGGACAGTACGATCCTCCAATCAGCGTAAAGACGTAAAGTTTTGTAGTCCTACATCGCTGACGCCCACACATTCATCACCAAGTCAAAACGTGAGAGTAACAAAATCAGACGTCTGATGTGTTTGCGAAACCTCTCAAACATTAGTTAGCAGGCTGGGATTGTGGGAAGTGTAGTTTCACGGTTAAAGACACAATAATGGACTACAACACCCAGCAGCATTAGCAGCAGCAGACTTGGATGGACACTATTTTTGTGTTTGCACAGAAGAGATTTTTCATTGCAGATGCTGCATCAGGAACGTGTTCAGACCACTTCGCTCAGGCGCTGATCCCCCCCCCCCCCCCCCACTGAGGATCTTTGATGTTCACGTTCCAGTTCTGAGGCGACATGTCGGATAAGACGGCGCCGCGCTGCCAGCTGAGGCTGGAGTGGATCCATGGTTACAGAGGTCACCAGTGTCGTAACAACCTGTACTACACCGCAGGGAAAGAGGTGGTGTACTTCGTGGCTGGAGTGGGCGTGGTCTACAACACCAGAGAACACACCCAGAAGTTCTACCTGGGACACAATGATGACATCATCAGGTGGGTTGGAACAGCTGATTGTTTTGTGAGCTCATTAGACAAGGAACACGTTTTTAATTTCTAAAAGTTGTAGACACGCTTTCGGTGGCCTGAAGGTCAACTGCAAATTACATTTAACAGAACAAAAAACATAAATGCTAAAAATCTCTAGTGGACACTGGAGGAACTGCAGCTGTAAAGTTAGACATTTTAACATGGGGCTCTATGAGGACTGACTCACTGCAGGAGACAGACTCTAGTGGACACTGGAGGAACTGCAGCTGTAAAGTTAGACATTTTAACATAGAGCTCTATGGGGACTGACTCACTGCAGGAGACAGACTCTAGTGGACACTGGAGGAACTGCAGCTGTAAAGTTAGACATTTTAACATAGAGCTCTATGAGGACTGACTCACTGCAGGAGACAGACTCTAGTGGACACTGGAGGAACTGCAGCTGTAAAGTTAGACATTTTAACATAGAGCTCTATGGGGACTGACTCACTGCAGGAGACAGACTCTAGTGGACACTGGAGGAACTGCAGCTGTAAAGTTAGACATTTTAACATAGAGCTCTATGAGGACTGACTCACTGCAGGAGACAGACTCTAGTGGACACTGGAGGAACTGCAGCTGTAAAGTTAGACATTTTAACATAGAGCTCTATGAGGACTGACTCACTGCAGGAGACAGACTCTAGTGGACACTGGAGGAACTGCAGCTGTAAAGTTAGACATTTTAACATGGAGCTCTATGGGGACTGACTCACTGCAGGAGACAAACTCTAGTGGACACTGGAGGAACTGCAGCTGTAAAGTTAGACATTTTAACATGGAGCTCTATGGGGACTGACTCACTGCAGGAGACAGACTCTAGTGGACACTGGAGGAACTGCAGCTGTAAAGTTAGACATTTTAACATGGAGCTCTATGAGGACTGACTCACTGCAGGAGACAGACTCTAGTGGACACTGGAGGAACTGCACTTCTCCATTGATTTAATTTCTCAGTCCTGAAGGTTGCTGCTTGGTGAGAAAACATTCATGTATCCATGGTAACAGCAGATGAAGCTGTCCTGTGGTTTCTTCTCTGACAGATGTTCAAGCTGCAGGTGTTGCCGTGACCCTGATCAGCAGCTCGGTCTGAAGCTAAACGAGGGAATCCGTATGATGTCACAGACCGTGTTAATGGATGAGTTCACTGTTTAACACTGTTCCTCATTATCAGCTGATCAGCTCCGACTGACTGATGTCACACAGGTGTTTTTTACCTGAAGATCTCATGAATAGAAAACTAATGAAACTCTGGGTCTGTTTGAAAAGTCCTTTTTGTTCTGGAAGGTTCCTAACTGAAGTGAAGTGTAACCCGCTTTATTGACATTGTTTTGCTTTTTTTAATGTGAAATGTTTTAATCCCTGAAAATCCTTAATGTGCTGTCGTGAATGTCCCTGAACGCACCATCAAAGACCTTTGAAGTCAGTTGTCAGTTTGTGATGACAACAATATAATTATAATTACAGTGATTGGCTCATTCAAACCATGCTGACCAGTGACGTCCAATCACAGTCAGGCAGGTGCTCAGATGAAACCCGGACCCCCCCCCCCAACAAACAGAGCACAAACTTTAAACTTTCACTGTGGAAATAATATCAGTGGATGCTTCTTAAATCACTCGCGTCGGACCAGGCAGCACGCCGCTGCCGAGCCCCTCCACCTGATGAGAGCTGACAGCTGGAGGAAAATCGCTGATGATGAAGACGGGCTGAGTGTTTCCCATCATGCTCTGCTCTGACTGACCAGCCTCATTTTGTTCTAACATAGAAAGAGAAATGCTGCTTCAGCCAATCATTGCGCAGCCCTTGTGTCTGCCATCAGCGTCTCTGTGAGGTCACTTTGATGAGGTGACAGTTTGGACGGAGGAAGTGGAGAGCATGACGAGCTGAGCAGTCATTTCAGAATAAAGCTGATTTACTGAGACAGAAACTCACGTCAGTATAAACCGCCAGAACATCTCCTCCCTCGCTCTGATTGGTCGGCCTCTTTGAGAGGTTTCCCAGACAGGAGGTCATCAAACCGAGACCTGGTTCTGATCCTAGCTAACAGGTCTTCAGACTGAGACCTGGTACTGATCCTAACTAACAGGTCTTCAGACTGAGACCTGGTCCTGATCCTAGCTAACAGGTCATCAGACTGAGACCTGGTCCTGATCCTAGTTAACAGGTCATCATACTGAGACCTGGTACTGATCCTAGCTAACAGGTCATCAGACTGAGACCTGGTCCTGATCCTAGCTAACAGGTCATCAGACTGAGACCTGGTCCTGATCCTAGCTAACAGGTCATCATACTGAGACCTGGTACTGATCCTAGCTAACAGGTCATCAGACTGAGACCTGGTAGGGGAACTAGCAGGACTTCACTCTGAACTTGGTATTTAATCGTCTCTCTGTCTCTTTCTTCTCGTCTCTCAGTCTGGCGATGCATCCAGATAAGATCCAGGTCGCCACGGGTCAGGTGGGTAAGGACCCGTACATCTGTATCTGGGACACGTACGCAATGCAGACGGTCTCCATCCTGAGGGACGTCCACACTCACGGAGTCGCCTGTTTGGCCTTCGACTCTGACGGACAGGTCAGACCACGCCCCCCTTGTGATGATGACACTAATATTTACATGTGAAAGACTCTTTCCAAAAGTCTTTATTTTCCATTTTAAAGACAAAAAAAAATATTTTGGTTGATAAAAGTTAAACAACAATAAAACACACACACAGTTCGGGTCACCAGGGGCCTGTTCTACGAAGCAGGAGGATCAGTTACCATGGTAACTTCAGGGTTAACTCTGCTTTTCAGGACTATAAAGGTGGTTTACTTCTTACCGAGGTAGATCACCATGGTAACTGATCCTGAACACATAACCTGCTCTGGAGCAAATTATGTTCGGTATGTTTACGTTAAAGTCTGATAAAACAAATATTCAAAGACGTCATAGACGCAGAAATAAAAAGAAGACAAACATTTTCACAAACTTGCATATGAATATTAGAAGACGTGTGGCCCCAGGATGCTGCCTTGTGGAACCCCAACCTCTAATGATAGTCCCTTTAGAACGACTGATGGACCGACTCACCCCACTCAGTTCGATCCCATGGTTTGACTGTCAGTGGTGGGCGGGGCTTCACTCTGGTTGACATGTGTTGAATAAAAAGTCAAATGGATCTAGTTGACTCTGACATGTTTTGTCGTGTTTGTGTTCTTGTAGCGTTTGGGGTCTGTTGGTTTGGACGCCAAAAACACTCTCTGTGTTTGGGATTGGAGGAGAGGACGGGTCCTCGCCACGGCAACTGGACACTCAGACAGAGTACAACCTTTCATTTAGTCACATACTGTTTGTTACACAGTTAAAGCTTGTATCTCGCTGTTCTCAGACGGACTTTGATTCACATGTTTCATAAAGATCTTATACGTATGAATTTTAAAATCTGTCCCTCTGTGCTGCAGATCTTTGACGTGTCCTGGGACCCGTTCACGTCCAGTCGTCTGGTCAGCTGTGGAGTCAAACACATTAAGGTCAGACAGACACTGAGCAGATGCTTTAAATCAACCACATACAGTTTAATAATGAACATGTCAGGGTAACGAAATTCCTGTGTGATTGTGTGTAGTTCTGGACGCTGTGTGGGAATGCTCTGACCCCTAAGAGAGGCATTTTTGGTAAGACGGGCGACCTGCAGACCATCCTGTGTGTTTCTGCAGCCAAAGAGGAGCTGACGTACTCTGGAGCTCTGAACGGAGACGTTTACGTGTGGAAGGGGATCACTCTGATCAGGACTGTGCAGGCTGCACACGGGGTAAATACAGAATTGTTTAAACCTCTTAATGATTTAGGCCCCATCAATAAATTAAAATTAAAGAGCTGCTGAGAGGTTATGGTCTGAAGCAGGATGAATAATGGGGAAATGTTTTTTGTGTTAAGGCGGGGATCTTCAGCATGCACGCCTGTGAGGAAGGATTTGCCACAGGGGGACGAGACGGCTGCATCCGCCTGTGGGACGTTGACTTCAAACCCATCACCAAGATCGACCTGAGGGAGGCGGAGCAAGGATACAAAAGTATGAACATCTGGGATCAGGTCCACATCACACACCTGCAGACAGACTCTGGTTTTAAAGAAGGACATCTCTTTTTATTCAATGCTTTCATTAAATGTGATTTTTTGATCCAGCAGATGTCGCCCTTGAGCACCAGCATGAAACCAAAACAACTCACGCTGCATTGTTGTGTTAGCATGCTAATGCTAGTGATCTTTATTATGCTGGTATCTTCACACTGCATGTAAATTTACCTGAAATGAGCGTGATCTAGAAACACAGTTAAGCAGTGAGTACAGTATGTTATTCTTCTTTTCTCTAGTCCCTCAATTAAACAACTTTTATACGTGAGGGGAGGAGTCAGCCGGCCGGCCGTACTGGCGATGTAAACAAACTGAAGATAGGACTCTGAACACTCTGAAAACATCACAGACAGTGGGACTCGGGTGTTACACCCATTGTAGACAGTCATGACTCACAGAGTTATTTTCAGAGGAGATACTTGATTTCTACATTTAAGTGTGAAAAATCACATAGAAAGACTTTAGTGAAAGCACCGATTTAAAAAAAAAAAAAAAAAAAAAAAAAAAAAAAGACGTCCTTCTTTAAAACTGCTTGTAGTGTGTTCAGCTAACTGAAGACTCACAGATTGAGTTTGTGTTTTTGTGTCTCAGGTCTGTCGATCCGCAGTGTTTGCTGGAAGGCAGACCGGATTCTGGCGGGAACACAGGATAGTGAGATCTTTGAGGTCATGGTCCGAGACCGGGACAAACCGGTTCTTCTGATGCAGGGACACAGCGAGGGCGAGCTGTGGGCGCTTGACCTGCACCCAAAACAGCCAGTCGCAGTCACTGGGAGCGACGACCGCTCCGTCAGGTTGGTACAACTCACAAACAGCTGATCAGCTCAAAAAACTTCTCCATTATCTGATGTTCTGTCTCTCTCTCCTGTCTGTCTGTCAGGCTGTGGAGTCTTCCCGACCACACTCTGTTGGCTCGCTGTAACATGGAGGAATCAGTCCGCAGTGTTTCCTTCAATAACGATGGCTCTCAGCTCGCTTTGGGGATGAAGGACGGTTCTTTCACCGTGCTGAGAGTCAGGTGAGCTCAGGATATAAATTGTGTTCCTGCATTCACTTTATTACTTTTATATTATTACTTCACATCAAAGGGTAATTTGCTCATCGGCTAACCAAAAAGTTAATTTAAATATCCTTTGAGTAAGCTCAAATGTTGATCTCGGAGGCTAATGTTGTGTTAATCCAGGTTGGACCCTGACCCTGACCCAGCATCGGAAAGAGACTTTCTGAGAAAATGCTAGAAATGTGTTTAGCTTCAACCTCCATTGTTGAAAAATGAAGTAAAAAAACTGCAGTTCCTAAAGTTTCCACTTAAGTCTGGCTGCAAAAGTTAAGAACTCCCCATTAGGTCACATATAAAAATGTCCATTTTGTCAGCAGAAAGGACTGCAGCCTGGTTCAAAAACTGTTTGTTCTCTATAGCTCATTCTTGGTCAAAAGTGTAGAAGAGGTGAATCATTTTACGTCTGTTGTATTGAGGTTAAGAGATATTCATAAATTTGTATTCTAAGAAGAGTTGACGTATATTTGAATTAAATCTTGAAAACATTGATTCGAGTAAAGTAAACTTGTACATTTTGAAATTGGAGAGGACCTAGGATTGAGCCTTGAGGAACCCCACACATCAAGTTTGTACATGAGCTGCATGGTTGCCAAAGTTTGAAGCTTGTGTTAAAACCTCCGGATATAAAGTCAACCTTTCCTTTTTCTCCAGAGACATGACGGAGGTTGTGCACATCAAGGACAGAAAAGAAGTGATACACGAGCTGAAGTTTTCACCCGATGGTTCCTTCCTGGCGGTGGGCTCAAACGACGGGCTGGTGGACGTCTACGCCGTCGCTCAGCGTTACAAGAAGGTGGGCGAGTGCAGCCGCTCCGCCTCCTTCATCACCCACCTGGACTGGTCGGTGGACAGCCGCTTCCTGCAGACAAATGATGGCGCTGGGGAGCGGCTCTTCTACAGGATGCCAGGTACAGTCTGAAAAACTGAAAATTTACTGTGACTTAGTGGACTGTGGACTTGATTTGGGACTCATCAGTGAAAACAGGGACAGGACTTATCACCCTAAGTTTGAGACTTGATGAAGACAAACCTGTCTCAACCTAACTTAACTGTTTAGACTTCTTGTTGTAAGACTCACAAGTCGAGACCAGAGAATTGACTTGAGAATCACCTGTCCAGATGAGGGACATTTGGTGTGCGACTAAAAATATAAAGACCTGGGGCTTGACTTTGGACTTACCTGTCTAGGTTAAGGACATGACTTGGGACTTATCTTTTGAGACCAGAATCTGACTTGGAAGTTCCTTGTCTAGACTTAGGGGTTACTTATCCCCCTAATGACCCCTGACCCCCTCTATGTGTCCTCCAGCGGGTAAGCTGGTCCCGAAAGAGGAGTCAAAGGGGATCCACTGGATGACCTGGACAGGTGTGGTGGGTGCGGAGGTGAACGGCATCTGGCCTAAATACTCAAACATCACCAACATCAACTCTGTGGACGCCAACTACAGCAGCGCCGTGCTGGTGACCGGAGACGACCTGGGACTCGTCAAACTCTTCAGGTTCCCCTGTCTGAAGAAAGGTGGGTCTCACAAACATTCAAACCTTTTCAGACACGTTTAGACCGTGGGACAGCAGGAGAGACCGCAGTCTAAAGTTATATGTACCTTTTTCTAAAAGTTAAAACTGTTTTAATCTTCACCATCAAACAGGAGCCAAATTCAAGAAGTACATTGGTCACTCTGCCCATGTGACAAACGTCCGCTGGTCAAACGACCTGCAGTGGGTCATCAGCACAGGCGGAGCTGACCATGCCGTCTTCCAGTGGAGGTTCCTGCCTGAGGGGGTCATGAATGGCGTCCTGGAGCCCCTCCTCCAAGGTAACAGCCCCAATGACATGGCAACCTGCGTGAGCATCGACTCTAGAGGGGGGGGGGGGGGGGGGGGACAGATCTCTCCAATGTCTCCAACTTGACACGATTATACACGAGTATAATCTAAAAAACAACTTTCTGTAAACATCACATGGTGTCATCTGTAAACAACTCCTACTTTGGAAAAACAAATTTATGGCAACTTTATTTTTTTTATACAATGCTATGAACAACTTTTAGGTGTTTTATTATAATATTTTTCTCTGGTTTGTATCAGAGGGTTACGCTGATTCCAACAGCGGAGAGTCGGACTCGGACCTGTCGGACGTCCCAGAGCTCGACTCAGACATCGAACAGGAAGCTCAGACCAGCTACGAACGCCAGGTGACCGGACACAAATCAAACACATGATGTGAATACCTGTCTGTCTGTCTGACTGACTGTCTGTCTGTGTGTCTGTCTGTCTGTCTGTCTGTCTCACCTGTCTGTCTGTCTGTGTGTCTGTCTGTGTGTGTCTGTCTGTCTGTCTGTCTGTCTGTCTCGTCTGTCTGTCTTACCTGTCTGTCTGTCTGTCTGTCTGTCTGACTCACCTGTCTCTGTCTGCAGGTGTATAAGGAGGACCTTCCTCAGCTGAGGAAGAAGCTGATTGGTTCCCTGAAGAGGCAGAAAGCTCCGGAGGAGGGGCTTCGTCTGCAGTTTGTTCACGGGTAAAAACTAACTTTTAATAATCAATAAAACTTCAAGAAGTAGTTTACGTCATATATACACTGACCTTATAATGGCGCCCTTGTTCCCCGTCTCCTGCAGGTATCGGGGCTTCGACTGTCGTAACAACCTGTTCTACAGTCAGACCGGCGAGGTGGTGTACCACGTGGCCGCCGTCGCCGTCGTCTACAACCGTCTGCAGCACAGTCAGAGGTTTTACCTCGGCCACGACGACGACATCCTCAGCCTCACCGTCCACCCACTCAAAGACTACGTGGCCTCCGCGCAGGTATGCCCCGGCCAATCAGAATGCAGCATGTCACACTGAGTGAGAGGGTTTCTGATTGGCGGTCTGTGTCCTCAGGTGGGCAGAGACCCAGCGGTCCACGTGTGGGACATCCAGACTCTGAAGTGTCTGTCTCTGCTGAAAGGACACCACAGCAGAGGAGTGTCTGCGCTGGAGTTTACAGGTACAGGGTCATCAGTATCTTGTCTCTTCCTCTCTCTGTATCTTGACTCTTCCTCTCTCTCTGTATCTTGTCTCTTCCTCTCTCTCTGTATCTTGTCTCTTCCTTTCTCTGTGTCTTGTCTCTCTCTGTATCTTGTCTCTTCTCTCTGTATCTTGTCTCTTCCTCTCTTTGTATCTTGTCTCTTCCTTTCTCTGTATCTTGTCTCTCTCTCTGTATCTTGTCTCTTCTTCTCTCTGTATCTTGTCTCTTCTTCTCTCTGTATCTTGTCTCTTCCTCTCTCTGTATCTTGACTCTTCCTCTCTCTGTATCTTGACTCTTCCTCTCTGTATCTTGACTCTTCGTCTCTGTATCTTGACTCTTCATCTCTTTGTATCTTGACTCTTCCTCTCTGTATCTTGACTCTTCATCTCTTCCTCTCTCTGTATCTTGACTCTTCCTCTCTTCCTCTCTCTGTATCTTGACTCTTCCTCTCTTTGTATCTTCTCTCTTCCTCTCTCTCTGCATCTTGTCTGTTCCTCTCTGTATCTTGACTCTTCGTCTCTTTGTATCTTGACTCTTCCTCTCTTTGTATCTTGTCTCTTCCTCTCTCTCTGTATCTTGACTCTTCCTCTCTGTATCTTGACTCGTCTCTTTGTATCTTGACTCTTCCTCTCTTTGTATCTTGACTCTTCTCTCTGTATCTTGACTCTTCGTCTCTTCCTCTCTCTGTATCTTGACTCTTCGTCTCTTCCTCTCTTTGTATCTTGACTCTTCGTCTCTTCCTCTCTCTGTATCTTGACTCTTCGTCTCTTCCTCTCTCTGTATCTTGACTCTTCGTCTCTTCCTCTCTTTGTATCTTGACTCTTCGTCTCTGTATCTTGACTCTTCGTCTCTTCGTCTCTCTGTATCTTGACTCTTCTTCTCTTCCTCTCTCTGTATCTTGACTCTGCGTCTCTCTGTATCTTGACTCTTCGTCTCTTCCTCTCTCTGTATCTTGACTCTTCCTCTCTCTGTATCTTGACTCTTCCTCTCTCTGTATCTTGACTCTTCCTCTCTGTATCTTGATTCTTCGTCTCTTCCTCTCTCTGTGTCTTGACTCTTCCTCTCTCTGTATCTTGACTCTTCCTCTCTGTATCTTGACTCTTCGTCTCTTCCTCTCTCTGTGTCTTGTCTCTTCCTCTCTCTGTATCTTGACTCTGCGTCTCTCTGTATCTTGACTCTTTGTCTCTTCCTCTCTCTGTATCTTGACTCTTCCTCTCTGTATCTTGACTCTTCCTCTCTGTATCTTGACTCTTCGTCTCTGTATCTTGACTCTTCGTCTCTTCCTCTCTCTGTATCTTGACTCTTCCTCTCTCTCTGTATCTTGACTCTTCATCTCTTCCTCTCTTTGTATCTTGTCTCTTCCTCTCTCTCTGTATCTTGACTCTTTGTCTCTTCCTCTCTCTGTATCTTGACTCTTCCTCTCTTCCTCTCTCTGTATCTTGACTCTTTGTCTCTTCCTCTCTCTGTATCTTGACTCTTGGTCTCGTCCTCTCTCTGTATCTTGACTCTTCCTCTCTGTATCTTGACTCTTCGTCTCTTTATATCTTGACTCTTCCTCTTTTTTTATCTAGTCTCTTCTCTCTGTATCTTGACTCTTCGTCTCTTCCGCTCTCTGTATCTTGACTCTTCGTCTCTTCCTCTCTCTGTATCTTGACTCTTCCTCTCTCTGTATCTTGACTCTTCATCTCTTCCTCTCTCTGTATCTTGACTCTTCCTCTCTCTCTGTATCTTGACTCTTCATCTCTTCCTCTCTTTGTATCTTGTCTCTTCCTCTCTCTCTGTATCTTGACTCTTCGTCTCTTCCTCTCTCTGTATCTTGACTCTTCGTCTCTTCCTCTCTCTGTATCTTGACTCTTCCTCTCTTCCTCTCTCTGTATCTTGACTCTTCCTCTCTTTGTATCTTCTCTCTTCCTCTCTCTCTGCATCTTGTCTGTTCCTCTCTGTATCTTGACTCTTCGTCTCTTTGTATCTTGACTCTTCCTCTCTTTGTATCTTGACTCTTCTCTCTGTATCTTGACTCTTCGTCTCTTCCTCTCTCTGTATCTTGACTCTTCGTCTCTTCCTCTCGCTGTATCTTGACTCTTCGTCTCTGTATCTTGACTCTTCGTCTCTTCGTCTCTCTGTATCTTGACTCTTCGTCTCTTCCTCTCTCTGTATCTTGACTCTGCGTCTCTCTGTATCTTGACTCTTCGTCTCTTCCTCTCTCTGTATCTTGACTCTTCCTCTCTCTGTATCTTGACTCTTCCTCTCTGTATCTTGATTCTTCATCTCTTCCTCTCTCTGTGTCTTGACTCTTCCTCTCTCTGTGTCTTGACTCTTCCTCTCTGTATCTTGACTCTTCCTCTCTTCCTCTCTCTGTGTCTTGACTCTTCCTCTCTCTGTATCTTGACTCTGCGTCTCTCTGTATCTTGACTCTTTGTCTCTTCCTCTCTCTGTATCTTGACTCTTCCTCTCTGTATCTTGACTCTTCCTCTCTGTAATTTGACTCTTCGTCTCTGTATCTTGACTCTTCCTCTCTCTGTATCTTGACTCTTTGTCTCTTCCTCTCTCTGTATCTTGACTCTTTGTCTCTTCCTCTCTCTGTATCTTGACTCTTCCTCTCTGTATCTTGACTCTTCGTCTCTGTATCTTGACTCTTCCTCTCTCTGTATCTTGACTCTTCGTCTCTTCCTCTCTCTGTGTCTTGACTCTTCCTCTCTCTGTATCTTGACTCTTCGTCTCTGTATCTTGACTCTTCGTCTCTCTGTATCTTGACTCTTCGTCTCTTCCTCTCTCTGTGTCTTGACTCTTCCTCTCTCTGTATCTTGACTCTTCGTCTCTGTATCTTGACTCTTTGTCTCTTCCTCTCTCTGTATCTTGACTCTTCTTCTCTGTATCTTGACTCTTTGTCTCTTCCTCTCTCTGTATCTTGACTCTTTGTCTCTTCCTCTCTCTGTATCTTGACTCTTCCTCTCTGTATCTTGACTCTTCGTCTCTGTATCTTGACTCTTCCTCTCTCTGTATCTTGACTCTTCGTCTCTTCCTCTCTCTGTGTCTTGACTCTTCGTCTCTTCCTCTCTCTGTGTCTTGACTCTTCCTCTCTCTGTATCTTGACTCTTCCTCTCTGTATCTTGACTCTGTCTCTTCCTCTCTCTGTATCTTGACTCTTCCTCTCTCTGTATCTTGACTCTTCGTCTCTTCCTCTCTCTGTGTCTTGACTCTTCCTCTCTCTGTATCTTGACTCTTCCTCTCTGTATCTTGACTCTGTCTCTTCCTCTCTCTGTATCTTGACTCTTCCTCTCTGTATCTTGACTCTTCGTCTCTGTATTTTGACTCTTCCTCTCTCTGTATCTTGACTCTTCGTCTCTTCCTCTCTCTGTGTCTTGACTCTTCCTCTCTCTGTATCTTGACTCTTCCTCTCTGTATCTTGACTCTTTGTCTCTTCCTCTCTCTGTATCTTGACTCTTTGTCTCTTCCTCTCTCTGTATCTTGACTCTTCGTCTCTTCCTCTCTCTGTATCTTGACTCTTCCTCTCTGTATCTTGACTCTTCGTCTCTGTATCTTGACTCTTCCTCTCTCTGTATCTTGACTCTTCGTCTCTTCCTCTCTCTGTGTCTTGACTCTTCCTCTCTCTGTGTCTTGACTCTTCCTCTCTGTATCTTGACTCTTCGTCTCTTCCTCTCTCTGTATCTTGACTCTTCCTCTCTCTGTATCTTGACTCTTCGTCTCTTCCTCTCTCTGTATCTTGACTCTTCGTCTCTGTATTTTGACTCTTCCTCTCTCTGTGTCTTGACTCTTCCTCTCTCTGTATCTTGACTCTTCCTCTCTGTATCTTGACTCTTCGTCTCTCTGTCTCAGCCGACGGAAAGAGTTTGGTCTCGGCGGGAATCGATGAGTTTCACTCCATCGTCATCTGGGACTGGAAGAAAGGAGAGAGGCTGGCCAAAGCTCGGTAACCACTCCCCTTATCATGATCAGTGTGGCGTTCAGTGTCAGAGTGTGATGTGGGAGATTTGATTTAAAAACATAATAACTCCAGACTTTGTTCTGCAGGGGTCATAAAGATAAGATCTTTGTGGTGAGGAGTAACCCGTTCAGGATGGACAAACTGGTGACGGTCGGCATGAAACACATCAAGTTCTGGCAACATTCAGGTAAACTTCGCCCTCCTCTTCTTCATCACCTGAAACACCTTCATCCTCAGGTGACCAGAAGGAAACCCTCTCTCTCCTCTCCTGCAGGGGGCGGTCTGACCTTCAAGCGGGGGATCTTTGGGAACCTGGGGAAGCAGGAAACGATGATGTCGGCATGTTACGGTCGATCGGAGGACCTGGTTTTCTCCGGAGCGACAAACGGAGACGTTTACATCTGGAGGGACACGACGCTCATCAAGACCGTCAAAGCACACGACGGCCCCGTGTTCGCCATGTGCTCCCTGGACAAGGTAAGACCTGGAACTTTTCCCTGTGTCCATATTTAAAGAGAGTCAGAGGAAGGAGAGCGTCCTTTGTTTTATTCATGATGTAAAAATATACACGATGCGGGGTGCTGGTGGGGCAGTGGTTAGTGCGCGCGCAGGCTGTGGTCCTCAAAGCAGGCGGCCCGGGTTCAAATCCGACCTGTGGCTCCTTTCCTGCATGTCATTCCCTACTCTCTCTCTCTCTGGTTTCTGACTCTATCCACTGTCCTCTCTCTCTCTCTGGTTTCTGACTCTATCCACTGTCCTCTCTCTCTCTCTGGTTTCTGACTCTATCCACTGTCCTCTCTCTCTCTGGTTTCTGACTCTATCCACTGTCCTCTCTCTCTCTCTGGTTTCAGACTCTATCCACTGTCCTCTCTCTCTCTCTGGTTTCTGACTCTATCCACTGTCCTCTCTCTCTCTGGTTTCAGACTCTATCCACTGTCCTCTCTCTCTCTGGTTTCTGACTCTATCCACTGTCCTCTCTCTCTCTGGTTTCTGACTCTATCCACTGTCCTCTCTCTCTCTGGTTTCAGACTCTATCCACTGTCCTCTCTCTCTCTGGTTTCAGACTCTATCCACTGTCCTCTCTCTCTCTCTCTGGTTTCTGACTCTATCCACTGTCCTCTCTCTCTCTGGTTTCAGACTCTATCCACTGTCCTCTCTCTCTCTGGTTTCAACTCTATCCACTGTCCTCTCTCTCTGGTTTCTGACTCTATCCACTGTCCTCTCTCTCTCTGGTTTCAGACTCTATCCTCTGTCCTCTCTCTCTGGTTTCTGACTCTATCCACTGTCCTCTCTCTCTCTGGTTTCTGACTCTATCCACTGTCCTCTCTCTCTCTGGTTTCTGACTCTATCCACTGTCCTCTCTCTCTGGTTTCTGACTCTATCCACTGTCCTCTCTCTCTCTCTGGTTTCTGACTCTATCCACTGTCCTCTCTCTCTCTCTGGTTTCTGACTCTATCCACTGTCCTCTCTCTCTCTCTGGTTTCTGACTCTATCCACTGTCCTCTCTCTCTCTCTGGTTTCTGACTCTATCCTCTGTCCTCTCTCTCTCTGGTTTCAGACTCTATCCACTGTCCTCCTCTCTCTGTTTCTGACTCTATCCACTGTCTCTCTCTCTCTCTGGTTTCTGACTCTATCCACGTCCTCTCTCTCTCTCTCTGGTTTCTGTCTCTATCCACTGTCCTCTCTCTCTCTGGTTTCTGACTCTATCCACTGTCCTCTCTCTCTCTGGTTTCTGACTCTATCCACTGTCCTCTCTCTCTGGTTTCTGACTCTATCCACTGTCCTCTCTCTCTCTGGTTTCTGACTCTATCCACTGTCCTCTCTCTCTGGTTTCTGACTCTATCCACTGTCCTCTCTCTCTCTCTGGTTTCTGACTCTATCCACTGTCCTCTCTCTCTCTCTGGTTTCTGACTCTATCCACTGTCCTCTCTCTCTGGTTTCTGACTCTATCCACTGTCCTCTCTCTCTCGGTTTCTGACTCTATCCACTGTCCTCTCTCTCTGGTTTCTGACTCTATCCACTGTCCTCTCTCTCTGGTTTCTGACTCTATCCACTGTCCTCTCTCTCTCTCTGGTTTCAGACTCTATCCTCTGTCCTCTCTCTCTCTGGTTTCAGACTCTATCCACTGTCCTCTCTCTCTCTGGTTTCTACTCTATCCACTGTCCTCTCTCTCTCTGGTTTCTGACTCTATCCACTGTCCTCTCTCTCTCTGGTTCTGACTCTATCCACTGTCCTCTCTCTCTGGTTTCTGACTCTATCCACTGTCCTCTCTCTCTCTGGTTTCTGACTCTATCCACTGTCCTCTCTCTCTGGTTTCTGACTCTATCCACTGTCCTCTCTCTCTCTGGTTTCTGACTCTATCCACTGTCCTCTCTCTCTCTGGTTTCTGACTCTATCCTCTGTCCTCTCTCTCTCTGGTTTCAGACTCTATCCACTGTCCTCTCTCTCTCTCTGGTTTCTGACTCTATCCACTGTCCTCTCTCTCTCTCTCTGGTTTCTGACTCTATCCACTGTCCTCTCTCTCTCTGGTTTCTGACTCTATCCACTGTCCTCTCTCTCTCTGGTTTCTGACTCTATCCACTGTCCTCTCTCTCTCTGGTTTCTGACTCTATCTCTGTCCTCTCTCTCTCTCTGGTTTCTGACTCTATCCACTGTCCTCTCTCTCCCTGGTTTCTGACTCTATCCACTTCCTCTCTCTCTTCTGGTTTCTGACTCTATCCTCTGTCCTCTCTCTCTCTCTGGTTTCTGACTCTATCCACTGTCCTCTCTCTCTCTCTCTCTCTGGTTTCAGACTCTATCCACTGTCCTCTCTCTCTCTCTGGTTTCTGACTCTATCCACTGTCCTCTCTCTCTCTCTGGTTTCTGACTCTATCCACTGTCCTCTCTCTCTCTGGTTTCTGACTCTATCCACTGTCCTCTCTCTCTCTGGTTTCAGACTCTATCCACTGTCCTCTCTCTCCCTGGTTTCAGACTCTATCCACTGTCCTCTCTCTCCCTGGTTTCAGACTCTATCCACTGTCCTCTCTCTCCCTGGTTTCAGACTCTATCCACTGTCCCTCTCTCTCCCTGGTTTCAGACTCTATCCACTGTCTCTCTCTCTCCCTGGTTTCAGACTCTATCCACTGTCCTCTCTCTCCCTGGTTTCAGACTCTATCCACTGTCCTCTCTCTCTCTGGTTTCAGACTCTATCCACTGTCCTCTCTCTCCCTGGTTTCAGACTCTATCCACTGTCCTCTCTCTCCCTGGTTTCAGACTCTATCCACTGTCCTCTCTCTCCCTGGTTTCAGACTCTATCCACTGTCCTATCTCT